CTGAAGTTGACCTTTAATAGCATCGAGCTGCTGCAGCGTCTCATAGTAACTACAGCCAGTTTCACTTTCACTGCAACATTAGAGGAAAAGAGTGAATCAGAATATACTGAGACATGTTGTGTAAAAGAGAAAGACCACAGACTGTTAAAGCTGCTGATGTTGGACTCAATGTCAAGTTAAATAAGAAAATATCTGAAACTTACAAATATGTCCAAAATAGTAATAAAATGCCAGAAACATGTTGATATTGCTGAACATATTTCTAAAATGCCAAAAAAAAAAATTGTTTAAAACTATTCAAAATGGATTTAAAAATATCAGAATACATTAATAAAATGTGCATTTCAAAGTCAGACAGCAGCGTGCAGTCGTATTTATGAGAAAATCCTTCTCAATAAATAAAAGCTGAATTATCCTGAGTAACTTTACAGGGTGAAGTTTGCAGGAAGCACTTTACTCTTTAAGAAAAACAATAAGCTTTACCAGAAATACCAGGACAGTATTGAACCAAAGTATTTAAAGGATGATTCTGATTTATTCCAACCTGTGGTGGTTCTGTGGGTCACGTTAATTTTGCATTCACCTCATTTTTCTGAATCTGCAAAGTCATGATGAACCACAGAGTCACAATAATGGAAATAAAACCAAACTGAAATACACCAGAATTGTCCTTTAATAGAAGCTGAAGTCATAGTTATGACATGAAGGAGTCATGAAACCTCAGGAAGCTACCGATGAACAGTAGCGTACAGAGGAGGTGAAACGTCTCCAGTGTTGTTGGTAGACGTCACATCCATCTGAAGTGAGGAGTAGAGGACGCTATCTACGTCACCACAGGGGGCGCTGTTCAGAGAGGAGGCAGCAACGTTGGAAAAATCCACCTCAGTGTAGACCAGTTTATTGGAGTCGTCTTCGGCCTGGATGAAAAAAAAGATCCAGTGAAAGACTTTTATTTTGTAAGGACTTTCATGTTCAAATAAACTACACAACATCTACAGAGACCCTCAGAAATGTTTTTTTTTTCTTGCACACATACTTTAAAATCTAAACACTTTC